ATGAACATGATAAAGAAGTAACCTCGTAATTTTAAATATATCGAAAAATGTAGTGAAAAAAACGACAAAAATCCTGGATACCTAATCCAACCAAAACCCAAGGGTAAAAACTAACACACGTTTCAAATAAATACAATAAAAAACCATGAAAAATAAAGCTGTTTCTAGTCACGAAAAGCAATAACGAGTCTATCGGTCCACTTGTGAATTGTACAAACACTACAAACCGCTCGTTACTTTCGTGCAAAGCCAACAATAATCCATCGTTAAAATCCTCCTGTGGGAAATCACACAAGTAACAGATGTGTCAACGTCAACAGTATATACAACAGTATACGATATATTAATGAATTACTAACATAGCTATATTTCTTTGTTATTGTTGTAAGGGAGGAAAGAAGTGAAGGCTGCCCTATAATGAATTATACGTTAAAACCGCCGCAATGTTTAGACACGCATAGCTACTGAACGACTGCACCGAATTGGATAATTCCTTGTAGGCGTAATAATTGTTTCTGTTTGAGCAAGGAGAGTATGAAGAAAAAAAGTTGATATTTTCTTTGAAAAAGCTAGGGTATCGGCAATGGCACCCATCTGAAGCCAAGGCAGTTTATTATAACTCCTACTATCCCATTTTTTATAATGGGATAAGCCGGTAAACCAGTAGACGGGTCATGTGATGGTAAGCAATTGGCAACGCTCATAGGCACCCGAAACACTAGAGGCGTTACAAGAGCGTTGCCGGCCATTTGAGGATTAGGAATTTGAGGATATTTTTTTCCTTCATTCACACGACGAAACTAACGCAAGTTTCACGTCGATTTTCTGTACGACCGTGGTATCACTATCACGCCGGTTGCGCGAGCCCATTCGTGCTAAAGCATGGCTGTACCACACTTAAAATTCCATTGCGCTATTTGCTGTAGCATCCAAATATCTGTTCAATATAGAAACTTCTGTTAACCCACGATCTCTAGAACAACAATGTAAAATGAAGCCATCGATAAATAATACAACACTATGCATTAATGGTCTCCCTGGAATTAAAATAAACATGATTTATGAAGTAAGATGCGATTGTAAATAAATCAAATCTTAAAATGAGCTATAAATTGACGACGAAATATTTAGACAGTGCGTGGAGTATATTAATATCGAGATATTCTGCTTCTGAAATATCTTTCTCTCATAAATATTGTTTGCTAGTGTGCATTTTAACTGCATTATTACCCACTAATTTCGGCGCAAGTATTTTTGTCTAGATGCAGTGCCAAAATCTGTCAGCTCTTAATTGTTTCAAACATGCAAGGAACGTTTTACTCCTTTCCAACATAGGTATGCGTCTCGTCTGCCGGAATAGGTATTTTTAGGTCATTCAATGTCTTTAGCAATAACAATTAGCTATTTGAAACAAGAGGGCAAGTTACAAATGCCTCCTCGTTTCGCTCACTTTTAATGGCTCTTATAAACAAAAACATTTGCGTGTTTACCATTTTACTAGAAGTACCCACTCTTCATTTTACAATTTGTAGAACTTGGTAAGGCTCTTAAAAATTAAGACGTATTTAATTTGTGAAAATGCTTTAGACGATTTCAATTTAAATGAGTAAAATGTGTAGCTAGGTAATAAGCGAGTAGCGAAAATGTAAAATACGTCTTTAAAATGTACCTTTTTACGATAATATATCTTCCTATTTAGTGTTTTATAAAATTGGAAAATTTTAGCTACTTAAGTATCTTATTTTTATTACTAGATTGTCTATCTATACGAAAGCCAGGATAAAAGATAAAAAGTCAAAGATTTTTTCATATCAATCTATCAGTTTCGAAGCCTATTCAATGCAAAAGCATAAACAATAAATTGTTTCAGGCTGTCGGATAAGGTGTAAAACCAAACCAGCTCGAAAATTATTAAGGTCTCATTCCTAAGAGTATCAACAAACATCCATAGATACTTAATACAACCATCACGTATATTTATTTGCACCATTATTGAACTAACAAATATTATTTTCCGTGTTCAATATTGTTTGGTATCCTCATTATCATGCGGATAATCGTTCGGATAATATAATACATATCCACCCACCACATTTGTAAGATTTTATTTGCTGAAAATTTTCCGTTGAGTATTAGCGCCTTTGGAAATTATTATTGTCTACGATACAATGAACTATGAAGCATGCTTATCATTCTTTGAATTTTTGGTAATTTTTCAAGCAAATGAATGTATATTAGTCTGTCTGCAGATTCTTTGTTAAACCATTATGAATATGATGTAATATTTCTAAAGAACAGATACCTAATAGGTAGGTAAAACAACCTTCAGGCAATTTGTGACACTTATCGTAATTAGCTGCTTAAAACTTCTTCGGGAAGCCTTTTGAGCTTATCGCCACTAATATAATTGCATAACATAACATCACGCCTTTTTTTATCTACGAAAGGGTAGGCAGAGGTGCACATTACGGCACTTAAAGCCACTGTACAAT